GTTCCCTACATCTTAACTATAGTATTCACCAAGGTTTTGATGGATCTTATTCTATCCAATATCATCAGTCATGTTTCACCTTTTATATAGGAATTATTCCCATATCCACAGCTCTAACATCTATAACCCCCAAACTTGAACTCTCCTTATCTCCATTTCCCATGTTGCTATCTTAGCAGTACCTCACATTTATCAATGACCAAAATAAATATACTAATTTCCTCTTCTAAATATGGTTTATTCAAAAGCATGAGAATCTTACATTTTACTCTCGCCCTCACATCCTCCTTTATGAAACTGCCTTGTCCAGGCAGTCACAAACTGGCCATTGCACCTCTATAATCACTCTCTTGTTTCTTCCCTTTCCTTTTAGCCTTTTCCCTAATTCAGCCTGTATTATCTTTCAACTTAACTGTTGATGAAGCCTCCACATTATTATATTGTCTCTTTCCTCTATCATTTTACTCAGCTGCCAAAGTTATATTTCCTCAAACAGGAACCAAAGTTTTTCTGACTTGGTCCCACCTTCTGATCTGAGTTCTTATATAATAGGCATCTGTTGTTTTAGGATATCCACCCACTTCCTACTCATTCTACTTTAGTTACTTCAGTCCAGTAGAGCTGATTCCACCCATGAGGAACACAATTCCAGATCAGACAATCAGAGGTGTACAATAATTGGTTCCGAAATGGGCCCAAGCCCTGGCCAGTGTCTCAGTTGATTAGAGTGCCCCGTGTACCAAATGATTGCACATACTCAGGTTGGGGGTTTAATTCCTGGTTGAGGTATATATGGCAAGCAAATGACCAATGTTTCTCTCTCTCTCTCTCTCTCTCTCTCTCTCTCTCTCTCTCTCTCTCTTTCTCTCTCTCTCTCCTCCCCCTTCCTCTCTCTCTACTAGGATCAATGAAAAACATATCCTCAGGTGAGGATTAAAAAAAAAAAGAAGAAAGAAAGAAAAGAAAAGAAAAGAAAAGAAATGAAACTGACCTAAACAGAGCTACTGAAGTGCCACAGAGCACTGCTGAGACTTCTGGGGCCAAGGCTTATGCTTTTTAACCGCTACGGTTATTGTTACATTTTACCACCAGAGGACAGCCTGCCTGAAAAGCCAATGCAGTATAAGTGAAGTTTGGAGATACAAAGAAAGAAATATGGTCCTAGAGATTGTCTTGTCTGAATCCAGTTTCCCTTGGATTGTTCCATTATACTTGCCAATCAACTCTCTCTCTGCATAAGGCTCTTTGACTCGCAACCAAATGGAGTACTAGACCAAAAAAATACTAAACAGCACCTCCTGTCTTTCATGCACCATATGATTCAGTCATACCAGCCTCCTCATCAGTATCAGAATACTGTGCCTTCCCTCATATTATTTCCTCAGTCTGGAATTTTCTTCCCTTTGCCTGGAATTCTCTTCCCTCCATTCTGTTTATTAAGATCCATCTCACTCTTCAAGGTTCAGCTCAAATGCCTCAGTGAAGCAATCTCCAAGACTAGAAAAAGAAGCAGAAGACGAATACACAGGGACTTTAAACCACACTCTATGGTTTTTTGAACTTGAACCTAAGGGTAAGAAAATGTCATTGAAAGATTTTAAAGAATAAAGGGCATGATCATATTTGCAATTTTATTATTATTATTATTTATCCTCACCCGAGGACATTTTTCCATTTTTTGTTCAGATAGAGTGGGAGGGAGAGAGGGAAAGAGAGAGAGAAACTTCGACATGAAAGGGACACATCGAGTGGCTGCCACTCACACGACCCATTCAGGGCCGGGGACAAACTGCAACCGAGGTACATGCCCTTAGCAGGAACTGAACCCGGGTCTCTCTGGATGGCAGGCTGACACTCCAACGGCTGGGCCAAACCGGCCAGGGCTGTCCCTGACTTTTTATAACTTAGTCTACAGTAGAAGAAAACAGTCTGTCTCTATTCATTATTTACATCTTTACCTATCATTTTAAAAAGGAAAATGTGAGACTACTCCTATTGTGCTTACCAGTTTTATTTCACTCGTTATTTGACAATGTGAGTTGCTGGGTATCCAAAGTTAAACGATATACAACTGCTCTAGAAGAAACTTACTATAGACATTTAATTAGATATTATTTACCTAGGGCTTCCAATTTAATAGTAAATGACAAGCATTCACTACTACCACTCACATTTTGAGCATTTTACATTTGTTAAGTAATTTAATCCTTCTAACAATCTTATGAAAAGGGAATTATTACTCTGTTACTGTAAGATATTATTAATACATTAAAATATATTACCTTTACCATCTTTTCCCAGAATCAGTGTTAAGTTAATGACACTAATTCTGCTAATGAGTGTTTTATATACAGTTGCTGTATCATTCCCATCAACGTGCAAACATACTGTAATTTCTTCCATCTTAAAAAAAAAAATCCTCTCTTGACTTTACATCCCACAATTTCTCTGATCCCCTTACACCAAAACTCCCTAAAAGAGCTGTCTATGTGAGTTGTCTCCCAGCTTTCTCCTGTGAGCTTCTCTTGAGCCATTCCAAAAAGGTTTTTGCCTCTACACTACTGAAACCACTCTATTCAAGATTATGAATGGCCTCAAAATGCTATATATACAATTTAAAATTTTTCATCCTCATCTCACCTGACCTGTCAACAGCACTTGACATAGGTAAAACACTCTATTCAAAATACTTTCTTTACTTAGCTTCTTAGACATTATACTCTTCTGGGTTTTCTTCATATCTTACTAGATGTTCTTTCTCAATATCTACACATTAGAATACCCAAGGCTCAGTCCATGGACCTCCTTTCTCTTTCTTAAAAAATTTATTTTTCAATTACAGTTGAAAAACTCTCTCTCTCTGTTAATCCTCACTCAAGGATATCTTCTATTGATTTTTAGATAGAATGGAAGAGAGGAGTGGGAGGGAGGGGAGAGAGAAACATCAATGTGAGAGAAACACATGCACTGGTTTCCTCCGGCACAACCCCAACCAGGGCTGGGGATCAAATCTGCAACCCAGGTATGTGCCCTTGACTGGGAATTGAACCTGCGACCCTTCCGTCGGAGGGCCGACCTTCTAACTGCTGAACCAAACTAGCCAGGGGGATACTTCCTTTCTTAAAGTTCTCATATACAGCAATTTCATGGCTTCACTAGAATGTAGCTTCAAAGGGTACGGATTTTTTTTTTAAGTTATTTTGTTTAAGCTGAATGCCCTGCACCTAAAACAGTGCCTGATATATATTAAATGCATGATAAATATATGTTCAATGAATGGATGGATGAATAGCTTTAAATAGTATATATAAACTGATGACTTTCCAATTTATACCTCCTGCTGGGATTTCTGCCCTGAACTCCAACTGCCTATCTGCTATCTCCACTTGGATGTGTAATAAACATCTCAAACTTAATCAAGTTCAAAAGAGAATTCCAAACACCCTTCCAAAGGGTTCTATGACTAACTTCACTTTCTTAGCAAAGTACAGTTCCATCGTTCCAGTTCCTCAAGCCAAATATTTTGAAAGTATTCCTAATTCCTCTTTCTCTCACACCACATATCAAACCTCCCAACACTGTGGATTCTGCCTTCAAAATATATTCAACGTTTGACTACTCACCACATCCACCACTATCACTATGGTCCAAGCCATTATCACCTGTCACCTAGATGAACACAGCCTCCTAATTGATCTTCCTGCTTCTTGTCCACCTGCACACTCCCACCTCCTCCAATTCAGTCTGTTCTCAGAACCACAGCCACAGAAATTTTTCCAAACTTAAGTCAGATCATGTCACTTCTCTGCTCATAATCCTGCAATTATTCCCCCTCTTTTCTCATTCAAAGAGAAAAGCCCAAATCTTGACTACCTATAAAGCTCTACCCAATATGGCCCTGTTACATCTCTGACCTCGTCTACTACTTTCCCTCTCACCTGTTCTGCTTCAGTCACAGCGGCTTCTGCTGTTTCTTCCCAAGGCCTTTCCCTGCTGTGCCCACCGCCTGGAACGCCTCGCTCTAGACAGCGCATATGTGCTTCATCACCTTGTTCACTGCCACCTTCTCTGAGTTTTCCCCAATCACCCCATGTAAAATTGCAACTCTAATCCCACCCTCTTGTCTTCTTGTTCTCCTTTCTCCGCTCTATATTTCTCCAAAGCATTTATCACCACCAAACACGATATTATCTTACTTTCTGAAGCATATGCTCGAAAAGGAGAAGAATTTTGGTCTGTTTTACTCAAGGCTATATCCCTGGTGTTTAAAGCAATGCCTGGTATACAGTAGGCGATCAACCATCTGTTCATTGAACACTTTCATTTCCACCAGAGGGCCTGACAGCCAACTAGCCTGGCGTTTCAGGAAAAGATCATCAAGCGACTCTAAGGTTTCCTCCAGTCCTCTGATCCCTAGAAGGATTATACTTTGCCTAGAAAGAAAAGAAAAAAAAAAAACCTGTGCTTTGTCCAGCCAACCATGAGGGGGAGTCCGAGAGGAAGGGCTGAGCAAAGGGAAACCAGATAAGGTTATTTCCCTTGCTTTCCCTTCGTCAACCTCAAGGTGGAAGAAAACTGGGTTTGGAGGCGACTGCACTGAATGAATAATTTTCTCCATACTATGAATTACCGGGGCACAACCGTAAACATTAAAAACCGCAATCCTCTCGAATGCCACAGAGAGGCCAAGAAAATCAACCCACGGGCCACTGATAAGTGGGAGGGTGTGTCTTTGATTCCGCCACGGAGAATTCCCCACCAACCCGGGCAAGAGTCCCCATTAGCGTCGAGACACGTAACTCGCACACCGCGGCCGGGGTGTCCCAAGCTGCCAGCACCCTCCGGCCGAGACCCGGCCGGTCCTTCCACCAGCACGCAGAGCAGCACTGACGCTGGAAACAGCACGAGCAGGGCGGCCCCGCGTGGAAGTCGGGCTGGGCTGACCGTCAAGCCCCGCTCCCCTGACACCGAAACCAGTTCCCCCCGCGATTCGGACTCACCGCCACCTGTTGATGCCCACGCTGGAGGAGCCCGCGAACCAGGGGTCGAGGATGTAGACGCAGCGGATCGTGTCGGCGCCCTGAATGCACTCCTTCAGGGCGGGGTTGTCGTGGAGCCGGAGCCCCTTGCGGAACCAGTGCACCGCGTTCACCCCCATCCCGGGCCGCGGCGGGGCCGCCCGAGGTCCTCCGCCGAGATTCAGGCGGCGAGGGTCCGGCTCATCGCCGACCCCGCCGCTTCCAGGAGAATCGCCGCGCCCCAGGAGTGAGGTCAGGGCGGCCCGGAGGGCAGAGGAAGAAATGAGTCCGAGGAGGGGGAGGGAGAGGGCGCTGGAGGCGCAGCTGGAAGCTGAATGGAGGTTGCCCGGTGCGCGGAGTCCGGGGGTGACGCCCGTTAGGAGCCAGCGCCTGCCGCAGTCGCCTGGACGACACGCATAACTTCGAGGGCCTCGGACGCCCGGAGGGTGAGCAAGTTGTAGGAGCTCGAGCCGCCACGACAGCCCGAGCCGGCACCCGCAGCCCCAGGAGGTTCGTCACGGAAACCTCGCCCCACCGCGGCGGTCCCCGGGGAAAAGCGGCCCGCCCGAGGCGAGCCACCCGGCGGGATGAGCACGGATTCGGCCTCTGTCGGCCAGGCTGCCGCTCGGCCCAGGAGTGAGGACGGAGCACGGAGGCGGTAGTCGAGGCCGCTGGACGGTTGCCGGCCGGTGACCGGTCTCGAGCCGGCCCGGGTGACTCCGCCACCACCGCCGCGTCAGCGGCCTCGGCCCCGCCCCCGGCTCCTCATTGGAAGGCGCGCTGCCCACGTGACCACCGGCACCTCACGTTTCTGAAGTGTGTTTACTACAGCGGCTCGTACTGGGGAATGTGCCCGCGCTTCAGTCGCTCTTAGGGGGCGGCAGCCATGCGGTCTCAAAACCGTCGGCCCTCTCCCAGACGCTGGGCTCCTCTAGCTCAGTCCCTTTTTTTCCGCCGGCCGGTCGCGATTGCCTGCAAGCGCCCCGGGTGATCACAGGCCCCACGTGAGGGAAGGCTTAGCTCCGCCTCCGCTGGCCAGGAGCACCCACATTGGCTGAGGCTCGCCGAGACCCGGATGAGCACGGGGCTGCGGGAAGCTCACGGGCGCGCGCTCTGCTTGAGGAGGTGCGCGTGCACTTCCCCTGCGTTCCCGAGGGAAGTCGGGCGGGGCGGGCAGGCGGGCGCGCTGGGGCGCTGCGCTGCTGGGGCTCCCTGGAAGGCCGGTGGATGGCTTTGTACCCTCCGAGAGTCAGCGAGGGGTCGCGGCGGGGGGTGAGGAGCAGGGTGGGCTGGATGCAGCAAAGTAGGAGGCTCCACGTCGACTTTGATGCCCAAACCACGTGCTTCAATCCAGCTTTGTGCAAAGAACCGTCCCTTGGAGTGTGCAGCGCCATTTCTTATGGACCCCGCGATGCTGTACCCTCGTACGTGCTCTGGGGAAGAAGGGTAATTGGCAGGACGGTTGCCACGCGTTCCTGGACTTCTTGTCATTCCTTGCTATCAGCAACATATCAACAGTATGTCAGCCCTACTCTTAACGTTTAGTGCGGCCTTGGCCCATCTTACCAAGGAGAACGACCTGCAGGCCCTGCCACCCCTTATTCATGTGATGACCTTATATTCATCCAAGGATTACTGATTGAAGCCCACACTGCTCACGGTGCTGGAGATACAGGAGAGAAGAAAACAGGCTAAAATCCCAGCCCTCTGTAGAGTATACAATCTGTATCTCTTAACTTTTACTCTTTGTTATTTTTTCTCTATAAAATGCTCTCCTTTGGAATCTGCTGCTCACTACAACCACCTTTGCCCTACCTAGTATATTTCCACACAGTCCTTTAGATTCAGGTGAAGTGCAACTTTAATTTGTGAAAATACTCCTGTCCCCACTCCCCAGCAGATTTAGGATCTCCCCCAGCCCACCAGGTATCTGATACACCACTTTTCACGCTGTTGAGAAGACTGAATGAAAAGTGCCTGTGTTAACACCAGCACAAAGTAGGTGCTCAATAATTGCAGTTACTACTGTGGTAGGGAGCTAGACGTGAGCAGAACAAGGATAATGGTACCAGGTGCAGAAGGTCACCAGGGTGGAAAGCCCTGGGTGCCTAGCAAAGGACAATTGTAGGGCGACCTTTCCTCCCCTAGCATATTGCTGGTCACACAGTTTGGACCCCCTGAACTTTCCTCCCCAAAGATAACATCTAGGCTTTAGTTGTATTTCAACTCCAGGCCCATAAAAGCAGCAAAACCGACCAACCACACCAAGGCTGATCTCAGGACCAGCTTCATTGAAGAATGACCTTCCTTCCCTAGCACTGACCAATCAATCAGTGGAAACCACAACCCTGAAAGGACACAGCTGGAAAGCTACTGAATAGTAGCTTGGACCTCCCCTAAAATCTCCACCCTTAAAAAACGAGGATGGAAGACCCAGTGCACCTCTCCCTCCCAGGAGCATGCCTGCGCCTTTCCCTTCCCCCTCCTCACTTGTTACCATTACCTTCCTTACTCCCAAGCACCAGGGGCCCCTTCCTTTACCTCTATAACTTCTTTTCTAAGCCTATTTCTTCTATAAATTACTTCTTCTATCTCTGTGATTTTCCAAATAAATGTTCTCTTCTAGGTTGAGTCTTGACTCTGAATTCTTTCCTAGCCAGAACTCAAGTACTGAGGTTGCTGAACCCAGTGACTCCACTGGTCTAACATTTGGTGCTGTTCTGCCACCCCCAACATTGCTACAATAACGTGTGTCTGATTCCTTTGGAAGTGTGACTTCTTAAAGACCAGAGCTCCATCCAGTTCTTTTTTTTTTGCATTAAATCCCACTCAGTACAGAACGTGATAGATAAGCATTCAAATGTTTATTGAATGACTGAATTAATGAATGCTGTTTGCCACCAGTGTTTGGCAAGGTTAGGAGGAGGAAGGATATGGCAATTGTTACTGATTGAAATGTGTCACTCTAAATTCATAGAAACCCTAGTACCTGTGACTGTGACCTTATTTGAAAATAAAATCAAGATGAGGTCCTTCAGAGTGATTGAGGTCCTTTAAAAAAGGGTAAATTTGCACACAGACCCACACACAAGGAGAATGCCATGTGAAGACTGGAGTTATGCTGTGTGGGGAAGGGTACAAGGTTCAGAGCTAGTCACCCCAAGTGGTATGCCTCAGTGGTACGCAGATTATTTTGAGCTAAAGGCAACAAAGAGTAACTTCTGCCTGCCACCTTCACTACCTAGATTCTAGGTCCTAGAAGAATTTAAATGAGGAGCCTGGCTTATGATAAGAGTTATCACCAGAAATGAGTTTTTAAGTATCTATATGGTAGGGCAAACGAATAAATTACTGAACATTTGCTCTCCTCCCTGCCGTGACCTTCTGAAGCCCCAAGGTGCATTACCTCATCTAAGCTCAGAATATCTTATATACCCATGTTCCCTTTCTGTCTCTGAACCTCTTGTTCATGTGGGGTCTCTGGCTCTCTCATGTATGTGGGGTTTCCATACATCTGGATGTATTAAATGTGGTTATTTTCTCTGCTAATCTGTCTCATGTCTATTTGATTATTAGAACCTTGAAGGTAGAGGAAAGTGTTTTCCTCCCCCACAGCTGCAATGAGGCAAGGAACTATGTGCACAAAGCTGAGAGTGGCTAGAACAGACCCTTCCCTAGTGCTTACAGAGGGAGAGAGCATGGCCCTGCCAACAGGTTGATTTCCGACTTCTGACCTCCTGTGCCAGGAGACAGTAAATGCCTGTTGTTCTAAACTACTCATTTTGTGGTACTTTGTTACTAGCAAACTAATAACAGTAATATAAAACCAGTCACCTAGTGAGCCAGTATGTCTGGATAGTATTCCCTACCCCTGCTTTTGTTGCCACACAGAGGACATAGCATCCTTTCCTTGGATTCCTAAGAACATTTAAAATTATATATATGAAAACTTTTTGTTCACTATAAAGTATTAGACAAATAGTTATTTTTATCAATGGGATGAGCCTTGGGTAACTACCACTCTGAAGGTTCTATCACCTATGCAGAGGATGTTGCATACAGAGCTGTGCCCTTACTTGGATTGTCTCATACTCCAGGTACTATTTTAAAATACTATTATACTTTAAAAATACAGTGTTTTGCCCTGGTCAGTTTGGCTCGGCAGTTGGAGCATCGGCTGGTGGACCAAAGAGTTGCGAGTTAGATTCCAGTCAAGGGCATGTACCTCATTTGCAGTTCAGTCCCCAGACCTGGTCAGGGTTGTGCGGGAGGTGGCCAGTTGATGTGTCTCTCTTATGTCGATGTTTCTCTCTCTCCCCGACTCTATCCGAAGATAAAAATGGAAAAATTGAGTGAGGATTTAAAAAAAAGAGAGAATTGTTTTCAAGCATCCAAATGAAACAGAGGGAGGTAGAGGAAGAGAATATTGATTTGTGTAGAGTTGACTTATGATTGCAGATTGTTCATTCAATAAAGATGGATTTTTTAAACAGACAGCTGCATGTGGGTGGGTGTGTAACTTTTATTTACACATAAAAGTACTAATTTATTATAAAAGTGTCAGTATTGTCAACTGCATTTCTCAAAGACTGAAGAGTTTTTATGACATATATGGATGGTTACTTTAATATATCTGTTATGGGGGAGAAGTAATCATTTAATAATAGGTATAACTTATTGAGCACCTACTGTGTGCCAGGCATTTTTTTTTTTTTTTTGTGTGTGTGTGTGTGTGTGTGTGTGTGGTACGTACCCCTAGCAGGAACTGAACCTGGGACTCTCTGGTCCACAGGCCGACGCTCCAACTGCTGAGCTAAACCAGCCAGGACGTGCCAGGCACTTTATATGTTATTATTAACCCTTGTAATAACCTTTTGAGGCAGCTTATTATTATTTAATAATAATTTATGCCCACATTGCTGAAGACATTAAACCTCAGAAATACAGATAAGTAGTAAAACTATTGAAAAAACAAGACAATTTCTGAACCTAAACTCTTTCCTCATCATATACTATCCCTCACTGACACCACCATTCCCCTTCTTTTTCAGAGTAAGTATTTACATATAAAGGGGGGAAGAGGAAAAGGGGAGCATTGTCAGGAATCTTGGGAAATTCTGGTTGGCTCCAACATCATGGTACTAGAAAGCGTATGGGACTGGGTTATATCTCAGTTTGCCATTGATAAGTTCAGCGATTTTCAGCCTTTTTCATCTCATGGTACATATGAACTAATTACTAGAATTCTGCAGCACACAACAAAATATATTTTTGCCGATCTGACAGCAGCATTCACACGGGACAGCTCTTGTTGTGTTGGCTGTTGTCATTTTTTTTTATTTGACAATCTAAGGGAAAAGAGGTCAGTGCCCCTGACTAAATAGGTATTGCATGTTTTTAAAATTCTTGTGGCACACCAGTTGAAAATCACTGGATTACGTGATGATCTTTAACAAGTCACCTGGGCTTTCTCGACTTGATTAATTCATCTGTAAAATGAGGAGTCTGAACTAGATAACTTCTAAGTTTTCCATGCTCTTTTAAAATTCTAGGATTCTGTGACTACAGCCCTGCCATGGGCTCAAAAATATCTAAGGAGAGATCTGTTAAACATTATTTTAACTGCCAACAATGTTAGGAACATCAATATTTCTTTGATTTCATGAGCACCCTTGATAAAAGTGTGTCAGCCTCTAAATTGAAAGCCTGAATTCTCTCTT